ATAAAAGAAGGTCTAGATTTCTAGCAATTTTTTCTATGAAATTAATTGAGACAAAAGGAAAGAAATGGAAAGGAGTAGAAAAAAAATCATGTTAACTTTCTAATTTCATATAAAGTATTTATCTCAATGGAGAATATTGCACTAGAGCCATAGACAGCCTGGCTGTCAAAAAATTCCTGGGGATGGGGTTGTTCCATGGATGAATAAGTGAAATTTTATCAGTTAGGACAAAAAAAATATATATATCTCAAGTCCAAATGACTGCATCCATCTCATATTGGTGTCATTCTGCAAATATCAAATTTTGCTTCTCATCTTTCATAACAGAAGCATATAAAAATCTTGAGGAGATTTTCAGACAAGACATCACTAAAACACACACATCAAAATAATGAGAAAGAATAACAAAAGGCTACAATAAGTTAAAATGCTCTGACAATTTTTGAAAGTAATTCTGCTTTAATAAGACTAGTGAGAAGATGACTTTCAAGTACCATAGAGCACTGTGGCCTTTCCTTCAAAGGGCTTTGCTCTCCTCAGATAATGACACTTTCCTCACTCATCTGGCTTCCAGTCTTTATTGTCCAACATTAAAAGTATAACAAAACAAAAAAAAATTAAATAAACTAGAAAAAAACCAGACATAAAGTATAGATAATCTCAGATAAAACCAAAAATTACATTAAGAGGAAATCTATGTGTGTGGAGAAAATCCAGCTTTGAATATGACAATAAAAAGCTCTGAGTCAAATGTTTTTGAAGAGGGTGATGCAAATATAGGTTTAATAGATGTAATCACTGCTGAGGAAGGGTGTGGAGCAGCACTCCCTCCTCTTGGCAGATATCATCACCCTCTCCAGTGCTGAGCTCTTGTGCTGATTTCAGCCCTTCAGCCTTTGACTCTCACTTGACCAGAAACCATCAGCTTTCCCCCAGTGCAAGCCAAAGCTGTGCAGGTTCCTAATGCTGCTTCCATCAGGGAATCATCAGAGGGTGCCACATTTTCAGAGGCTCTGAAAAACCCTGCAAGTTAACATTTAGCTGCCTCCAGATATTTTACCACCAGGGACCCATATTCAATGAGAGTTTCCATTTAGTATTCCCCCCTCCTCTCACTCTAAGCACAATTTAAACCTTGGGTAGCAGAAAAGAAGCTGTTCTATGGATTCAGGGCACATCATACAGAGCTTTCTTTCCCAACAGCAACACAGATACACCACAACTTAATCCCATTTGTCACATCAGGTAAACAGGCAGTTGTTCATGTGGAGAAAATTCAGTAGCAGGACACTCAATATCTCAACTAAAGTTTCCTATGAATCTAATAATCTGGAAAGAAGGTAAATAATGATGGAGTAGGACTTTCAGATTTCAATTATTTAGGTTAGCTGAGGGACTTGGAAAGAGAATAAATGCTGCTGGGTGAGCACAGAGTGCAGCAGCCTAAGGATCCTACAGATAGCAAAAGATAAACTCACCCTTCCTGTTGGACATAAATTTCAATGCACACACCCCAGGTACAAGGTGTCACTGGAGAGAAAAAAATGATCCCCTCTCTGAATTTATCACACAGATAGTGCAAGCAGTGTAGGAGTTCCCATTCACTCCCACCCTAGCAGAAGAATAAAATGTAGTGGTTACTGAGCACAAACAGAAACATTACACATTTAAAGCTAAGAGGAATAAATAATAATTTCTGAAGGTAATGCAACTGTCAGCTGGAACTTGGTGTAGTCAAGATGCATTTAAGCCCATGACTTGACCTGGTCTTTAAAATGCCTGATCAATTCCAGATACCTGAGTGCCACATCAAAGAGCTGAGCTGCACTGCTCCCCCTCTGCAGGAAAACCAGCACCCAAGTGTGCCCAAGTGCTCAGCACATCTCTGTCACACACCACAATGATGGTAATTACCAATATAACAACACTGTGGGTGTAAATCTGCCCTGGCAGCTGGGGCTGGTGAGTTCTCACTCCAACAGCAGCCCCTGGAAGCTGCCTCAGCCCCTGGCACCACCAAGGGGAAGGAGAGCAGAGCCCACCCTGGCAGTGCAGAGGGATCTTGGCCACTCCTTGGCCACTTGTGGGCAGCTGTGAACCCTCTGCAAGAAGCCAGAGAGCTCAACATCCTCTGCAACCCACATCAGCTGAGGGGATTCTCTTGCACTCCTCCACCAGCCCTCTCTTTCCTGCTCATAAACCCATGGCATGATGTAAACCCACTGCTGCTTGTCCCTAGGTGCTCAGGGGTGAGGAGACAGCCTCCACCTGTCCCCTGAAACTCCATCATGTGTAAGACACCTGATGCCTATCAATATTTTAATAAAAATACCGGTATTTTTAATTAATCGGGCATTTCTTCACTGAGGTACACTGAGAAACACTGTACATTTCTCATTTACTCTCCTCAATACATGCTTATTAATTAGCAGACTAATTTGCTTACTTCTTTAGGAACTGCATGCCAGGGAAAATGTTCTCAGTTGTCAAATGCAACTCATCGATTGCTGTAAGACACTTAAGACTAATTGATAAATATATCCAAGCCCTGATTAATTGCTGAAAAATCCATCATGCTGCATCCTGCTGTCCTTTCCTTTATAATAAGACTCTTGAATTAATTTGAAACTTGATTTTGCCTTCTTTTAATTAAGAAAACCACCGAAAACCAGAAGTATTTGTGGAGGGTGTCTATTCAATTTTCTGGTTATGCTTGAAGTGAAATCTACTTCATTTACCTTATTAGCCAAAAGTAAGGAAATGAGCCTACTCTGAAATTAGTTACTCTGTCAACTAGAATTTATCTTTGGGGCTGAGAGAGCTGATGTGGAAACTTGAAAGTAATTTCTTCACTCCTCTATTTGTTATATGTATTTTTTAAGGTTCCTTTCTGATTACATAAATTAAAAGTGACTTCTACAAATCTGGAAGAGCTGTGCTATGTACACTTGTCAGTACAGCACATGAAACAGCCCAGTGTACAATTATGTAGATTGTATGGAATGTAAAAGGTTAAATTTACAGAGTAAAAGTGACTGAACATTCCCAGTGATGTTTCCAAGCAGTAACACTCTCCCTGCTCAGTCCATGGCCATGCACCCCTGTTATTCTCACAACAATTCTGCTGGTGTAAGAACATTTTCCCCCTCCTTACTTCCACAATCTGTAGCTTAAATAGTATTTTAAAAATTCTTTCACTGGGTTCCTACTGAGATCAATCCACAAGTTCCTCTGAGGCTCATTTTTCCCCAAATTGAACTTTTCTTCCTCCTCCCCTCAGAAAGCCTGGAGGCAACAAGCTTTGGTCCAGCACCCAGCACTGCCCCAGCAGCCTCCTCCTTCCTCAAAGTATTTCCATAAATCTTCCATGAAATTACAATTTTTGCCAAAAAAACTCTACGTAGTACTGTTTGTCTGTGGAGAAATGCTTGGGCTATCAACAGCCAGAGCTGGCTCTCTGGCAAAAGAGGAGGATAATTACAATGCCTCTTGAAATCAGTATATTTCCTTGCTGCTAAAAGGGTGGCATGCTTTACACCTTTAAACTACCTTAAGTAATCATTTTCTAGGCAGAACAGAAAATCCATTTCTATTAGTTTCCAAAGACCTTGAAAGTATGGATGTAGGAAGACCACTTCCATAAATTCACCTTTTTAGAGTCACTGGCTAACACAGAATTTATGCAAGTGCAGGTCTGTCACATAATTCAGTATTTATATTCTCCCTTTCAAGCTCCAGGGAGCTGGAGTAAAACGCTAAAAATAAAATACACATGTTATAATACACACAAGATTTAGAGATGGAACTATTCTGACAGTTCAAAATAAAAGATCTTTGTGCATAAGATCTCCATAGCTAGGCCTGTACCTAAATCACATATTGATTTAACTCACTGTAGACAAGTTATATAAGCTTTGGAATGATGTATGCTTGATCAATGTGTTTTAGAAATTAATCTCTGCCAGACTTACTCATTTAGGCAAGTGAAGAAGCCAGATAAATATCTCTACATTTGACTTTATAGGACAGTAAACCAATTTCTAATCAAATTTGTAAGTAAACAGCATTATTTGTTTCCAGGAAATACCAATATTAAAATACCTTTCTAAGAAAATCTGAAAACAAGACTTCAAAAATTTAAAGTTTTATCTACAAAATTCACAGATTATAAAATTGATACAAGAGTATACAAACATGATGATCAGACATACAGAGGAGAACAAAATGCTCCTTTGAAATACCCAGGGATGGAGACTCCTAGCACCACCCTGAACAAAGGGGTCTGGAGTCTCAGCCAGATGAAAGTCAGGTGTATTTGATATTTTACTTCTTTGAAGTGCTAACAGTGACTCCACACCTGAGTGCAGGAGTGATGCCCCACTCCATTGCAAGCACTCTGACCTGATATGGGGAGAAATAAATGTTTATAGCTCTACAGGCAGGCCTGTGCTTCAGAACAGAGCATACTCTCAGGTTAGAGACAGGGAAACTGAGGCACGGAGAGGCACAGTGACCCCCTGAAAGGCACAAGGCAAGCTGAGGTACAAATGCCAGGAGTGAAGGCTTTTATCTGAATGCCAAATCCACTCATGCAAACCTCCTTTCTGACCCACATTTTTACTCAAATCCCGCTGATCCTAGCAGTGACAGCTCAAGGACAGATCCTGTCCCGCCTTAGAGCTGGGTGGCTCATGAACAATGAACTCTCTCCTCACTTTTCTGGGAGCTTTTGTGTCCTAGCTCAGTTTTGGGACAACCCAACCCGAGGTGAAAAGCTGGCTCTCTGTCTCAGACTCCCCTGTGGCCCCAGCATAAGAACCCCGCAGTGTGACATTATTCACAGGTCACTCCTGGCACTGTGAACACCAGCTCAGCTCAGAGCCACGACCAAGGACACACTGACACTCCCCAGGCCACCAGCACAGGGACAATCAGGCTGCTGCAGCCTCGGGGGACTCCCTGCAAAGGCAAGAATTCAAACGAGGAGGGAAGGCACTTACCGTACAGGACTGCAATGAGCGACACGGGCATGACCAGGATACCCACCAGCATGTCTGCTACTGCCAGAGACATCAGGAAGAAGTTTGTGGCATTCTGCAACTTCTTCTCCAAGGACACAGCCATAATTACCAATATGTTCCCCCCAATGGTCAGCAGGATGACAACCAAGATCAGGAGGGCCGGCCAATTCTTCTCCCTCACGGACATCCGAGAGACTTCCCCCTTCTCAGAGGTGTTGAGAGGATCAGATGTAGGCAAACTCTGGTTCAGAGTCAAATTGCTGCTCAAGGACCAAGCCATCAGACCACCATGCAAACTAAAATCCAGTGTAACAGACACTGTTGTTAAGCTGAGCAATATTCCAGTGCTACTTAAGGTGCTCATTGTCTGGGGCTGGTTGCTCTGTCTCTTAACCGTGCCTCAGAGACGATCCCTTTTCCAAACTCCAGGTCCAAGGCAGATCACAAAACCTGAGCCAGAAAATCATTTGATCTTCCATAGTGAAGCAGGGCTTACAGAAGTTAGCGTGGAGCTCCTCTGCTTTCCTTGGGTGTGGTAGATGACGACCATTGACCACCAAGCTCAAGGGAAAGGAGACTTTGCAATCTCCAGCTGGTTTCCAAGTTCACCATTCTGAAAAGTAAAGGAAAAGGATATTCTTCACTGAAACCACAGTAAACACAGCACCTTCTTTATTCCCCATGCAACTGACACCCTTATTCTTCCCCTTCCTGCTGGCTAGGACATTCTCCAGACTGCCAGCAATTTATCTGGAGGGTACAGACTATGCCTACAATCATGGGGGAGAGAGGCAGGGAATCACATCAGTGTGCTCTGGCTGGTTAAAAGCTGATTATCACTAATTAAATGTTTTGTGAAACCTGCAAAAGCAAGTCTGAAGAGCAAAATATGTTTCAATTGATATCTACTTCACAGATACTCTGCTGCTGTGGAAAATAGTAATTGCACAAAATTCCAGCCAATCCAGACAGTGCAGCCAAGCACAGGGTAATCCATCACCTTAAATGGAAGAGTTTGGATAAATTTTACATATTCTGAGGTAAAATGAAGGTGTTGTAAAAACCCTCAGATCTTAATGATTAACTCTCCTGTAATAACAAATACTGCAGTTCAGTTTCTATTGGGAAATGAATGGTGGATAAGATGCAATGTTATCAGACAACATTGTATGCTCCTTCTGGAACAAACAGACAACAAAGAGTTAAGAGAAAGGAAAGGACAAACTTTCATAAAAGCTGAGCACTTATTTCTGCTTTTCATCTATTTTTGTGCCACTGTTTCCTGCTGATCACGAGCACACAGCCAGGCCAGCAAGCCTAAACCCAGCATTCTGCTGCTCAGGACCACTGCCCCAGCAGCCCCATCCCACACCCAGTGGGGTCAGATTTCCTCACAGCATCGCACATGATTTGTGCTGCCTCAAAAAGGAGCTGACAGTGAGGGCAAGGCTGATTACTACCCATGTCACACAGGCCAGAGAACATCATGCTGCTGCTTCTGAGGTCCTTCAGCCTCATGCTTTGGGCTAATTGGGTAAATTGAATGTACTCCTGACTGCAGGCACAAGCTGCAGCCACTGAAGCTGAGGGCATGTATTCCCAGCCTGGTGAAATGAACTCAGTAATTCTGCCTGCCAGGCTTGTCCAGCTGATGAGAAACAGCAGCTTTGCTTTGCACTTCCACTGCACTGGGGGAAGCTCCTGACAGCCACAAGCAGCACAGGAGGAAAACACCTGGTCAAGCAGGAGGATGGAAGTGGACCAGGAAGAGAATAAAATCAATAGCAGGCAGCTTCATCTGAGCACATCCTCAGCTTTTGTGCAGCTCACAGGAAAAGACCGTTCTATCATTGTTAAATAAATAACAAATAAAAGCCAGATTTTAGCTGTTGAATGCACTGTGGCACACATCTGACACAGCAATCCAGGTATCAAAAGCTAGATGTAGTTCATGAGATTACATTAGATTTCATTTAAATAGGAAGTGCTCAGAATCCTATAATAAAATGTTTAACATTCATGAAGGTTTTGGAACCTTGTTAATGGGCTTTGTGCACAAAAATATTTCTTAAATGAGCAGTTCATACAATGAACCCAGATTTGCTTCTGCATTGTAGTTAATTACTCCCACAGGGTCTCTAAACCTCATATTTAGGAAGGAGTTTTGCACAGCACAGAAAATAATTTTGCAGCTGCACATGCAGATGAATGAACAAGTGGTCACTGGACCGTTTATTTTTTCCAACTTAGCTGGTCTCAAAAACAACAAAAAAAGGTCTCTAGAAAGTTTCTAAATAACTTCAGATTTTTTTTTTTTTTCCCAAAACACAGCTTTTAATTCAAAGCTGTGATGACAATTTTTCCAAATCACCTTTCCACATTGAAGGAGACACTGGGCAGCCAAAGGATCACAGCCAGGACATAACTCTAGATCATGAAAACAAACCAACAACCCCCAAACAAACCACACCACCAAAAACAACTCCAAGATAAGGCTTCTGAATTAAAAGTGTCTATTTTTATCACTGCTCAGGTCTGTATACTGAAATGGTGAGTAGAGTCATTCTCTCTTGCATTTTACATATTCAGATTGAAAAATCATGTGGGAATTTGATTACAGGAGTGCTCAAGCCTGGGCTCCACCTTCAGAATTAACTGTTCTACTGCTTTGCTAATACTCTTGTTATTATTTTACACAGATCCTGGCTTGAAGTCATCAGTTTTCCTTTTCACTGCATCCTTCAGTCTCCTCAAGGTAAAACTTTGTTTTAATTCCTTCAGCTACAGTCTTCTAAGCACACCACTGTACCAGAAAAATAATTCACAATTTATTCATGGATTCTGCATTTATTTAAGAACCATCTCCATAATTTTAAATTGAAACATGGGCCCATCACAGATTTTTTTTCCAATAGCTAACATCAAAGTACACATACTGAATTTTGTGGTCAATCATCAATTCCAGTTCAATCTACTACCGACAGTCCTGAGAATTATAATTTAAACATTCAGCAAAGCCAAATTATTTTACTTTATCAAAAAGCAAGAGTGGCATAGAAAAGAATGATTTCTTTTGGCACATTCTTTCCTTTCACTCTTTAAGTCCAGTTTAAAATAAACTGAAGGTAGAAAAACACTTTTGTCTATCAAGAAACACATGAATTATTTAAAGCAGAGGTTGATATGCTGGAGTTTTTGGATATTCCAGAAGGTTAAGTTGGAGTGAAGCAGAAGCTACAATGGTTAATAAGCCTGTACTGGTGGGGCTCAGATGCCTTTGGGGGTATTTACCACCATTACACTCGCTAAAAGGACAAAAACCAAACCTTTTTTGGAATAAACACAATTCTCTTTTCCTTTGAATTAAATGCATACATCTTTAGTCGTTTTACCCTTCAAAGCTCAGAGCACTTTTTCCTGGAGAGAGGCAGCTGCCTGCTGACACTGGAGATGTTCCCCAGCCAGGCAGGATCCTGCTCCCCTGGACCCTCTGAGCCCTCCTGAATCACCCAGGGAACCTCTGGATGTTACCAACGTGCATCTAAAACTGGGTGAGAAATCAAGGATTGTCATCTTAGCCCAAAAAAACAACCTGAGTTTCAGGCAGACTGAGGTAATTAATACATTAATTCATGATGAGTCTTGCTGTAAAAAAAAAAACCCAGAAGTACTTAATGATCAAAAGTGATGGCTTTCAGCAATTCCCACCCCACAAAAAAACCAAAAGCATCCAATGGCATCATGGGTACAAAGGCCATATGCAAGAAAGATTTTCTCCTCCCAAAATATTGGCAGTCTCCAGTTCTCCAAGTCACATTCACATCTCCCCAATCACCTGATGAAAGCCAACAAGCTGATAAAAAACAAACATTTTTAAATAAAAAGTTTTTCCTTCAGCCTTGACTTTGATGGCAGACCTACATCAGGGAAAAAAATAAATCTGAAGTCAACTAAACTGAACTGTAAGTACTGCAATTTTTTGACAGGAAAACAGTTGCAGATAGTTCACAACTATCTTAGCCAGATAGTCAGATGACATAAATTTTTATAGCTCCATGAAGCCCTTTTCAAAATGGCAAATAATTTAAAATTATATAATAGAATACACAATTTATGTTCAGGAAGGCAGATTTAAGGCTTCATTCTTCCCTCTAAACCCTGCATTTCTTGCTATTTGCATATTTATTATTTTTTTAATCCATTGCCAATTTAATTTTCTCTTTTTTTGGAACAGAAGGTTGCTTTAAAATACAGATTTTCATAGCAAACTTGCAAAGGGCCACTTTCCTTTTAGTGATTCAATAAAGTCATATTTTCATATTAAGAGAATTCTATATTTTGGGCTGTTGGAACTCATCTTTCTCCCTTTTGTAGCAGCACTAGGAAACATCCCTATTTCTGTGCAGTTCTATTTTTAAATAGTGAGTGAGAATGCTGCAAGTCCAATGGAGATGACCAGGGTGATGTGGGAGGAAGCACAATAAATACTGGGTTTGGTTCAGCCCAGAGGAAAAGCTCTGAACAGGGATGTCTTTGCTGCCTACATCTACCTGCTGGTACTTCCAGAGGAAACAAGAGAATTCCAAAAGCTGGGCAGCAAAACAGGAAGCAATTGTGACAGTGACAGATGTAAGGAAATCGTGTATGAAGCAGGAAAAAAAGAGAAGAATCTCAGTGCAGGTGGTCGGACAGAGGCTGTGGGATCTCCATCCTTGCAGAAGCTCAGAACACAGCTGGGATCTACCCCAAACACCCATCTAACCTGGAAGTCAGCTCTTCCTTGAGCACATTGAGGACTGGAGACTTTCAAAAAGTCCCTTTCAGGTTAAATTATCCTATAATTGGATCAGAATTGTGCTTCTGAGCAAAGCTGTCCAGCATGGGGACGTTTTGAACTCCTACCCTTGGTGCACCCCCTGTGCTTGTCCCTGCTCACATCCTCTCCCCTTCAGCTTCCCCAGGGCCAGAAATAAAAGTGTGTGGCCAAGTGGGCAAACAGAGCTGTGAAACAAAGGGAAAACAAACCCAGTGTGCCTGGGGTGGGATCCAGGGCCCCAGAGCTGCCCCAGCTCACACCAGAGCCAGCTCCTCCCCTTCCCCAGCTGCTGAGGCCATGGCTGTCTGAGGATCCCACAGCTCAACCTCCTCTAAAGTGGCAGCTTTGGAAAGCCCCAGCTCATTCTTGTCACTTGGCAGCATCAGGAAATCTCCTTTCTGTTGGAAGCAATGCCCCCAGTGCCATCACAGAGGCAGCATTTTCACAGGCACTGCAGCAGGGAAGGAAAAGTCAAACGCCAATGATTATTCTGTAGATACCCACTGCAAATTAACTGAAGTTGCAATCCAGAGAAGTGGTTATGCCTAATTTGACTATTGTCCTGAGCTACTCTTGAACTTGGGAATATATTATTAGCACTTTGTTTAGAGATTTTCTTTCCAAGGAAGAATTTGATACATCCTCTTCTGTTTTGCAAGAAATTCTGGAATTTTTCCCAATAGGAATTGGAGATAAATCAGCGTAAAAACCACTTAATAAAACCTTAGGGAAACCTCCCCAAATACAGCTTTCTACCAGTCTTTTTTAATTCTGACACAGAAAATAACTATTTAATT